AGAGCACCTTTGGGATGTGGCTGAACAGGAGATTCTCAGCATGATGTGCGCCTACAAATCTGCAGCAACTGTGTGTTGCTGTCACGTCAATATGGACAAAAAAGGCTCTGAGGAATTAAGGCAGATTTGAAGTAAAAAACAGACCAACCAAGTGCTAGCAAGTTGTACCTAATATAGTGGCCAGTGAGTTGATATGTACAAGAATATTATACGACTGAAGCCAATGAGCTTGTAGTTTCGCAGTCAGACCCGTCCCATTCTCATCACATTTCATCACCAAGACGATGACGGGAAAAACTCATCTCATAGCTTCAGAAACCGCAAGTTTTTCTATAGTCTAGGGTTAAAGCGGAAGAGGCAGCGTGAAACATTAAACAAGATCAAAGTATCAGAATTATAATAATTCTTTCTTTTTTATTTGATTTTGCATTGCACTTAATAAATTGTCACAATCACAATCTTTTAACCTTTTTTATTTTAACAGTTTTGAATGTTTCCACAAACTGTAATGAAAAACTGCTGTTGATGCAGCGTTGTGTTTTACATCTGAGTTTCATAATCCATCTCTGCCTGTCATGTTTTTATCTTTAAACTGCTTCTCTTTTCTTTTATCCACTTAAACCATCTAACCAGCCTGTAATGGTGCCCATCCAGACTACACCTGTTGCCTCTCCATATTCACTCAGTGTGCGTCCTCTGCTGAGTCACAGACAGGCCTGAGCAATAATTACAGGGTTAAACATCAGGCCTTGAAAACAGTGAATCTAATTGATTGTTCTTGGTGCACAAATGTCCTGAGTGCCTCATCGTATGCCGAAGAGCTGCTCTGTGTGACTATGGCTCAAATGGATCTGACACTATTGCAGAAAAAACCTGAAATCATATAATCTCTAAATGTTCTTTATTTGAAAAAAAGGAAAACATGCAGATTGGATGGAAGCCGTGTGATAAAACAGACCAAGCTTGAAATTGAGGAAAAAGAAGCTATAAAACTGATATCTATTTTATTCTTTGCCGCAGTGTCACGTCGCTTTTTGGAAAATGTGCTGTTTAAAGAACAATTTTAAAGGTTCGGTTCAGGTGGTCCGTACGCTTCTGCAGGGAGACGCTACAGGCGGGGTCACTGTGCAATAAAACCACTTGTCACTTTTAATTTATGGCGCAGCGAAAGCACCGACAGACGGTGATGAGACATCAGTGTGATGTCACTTTCTCCCAAAACGAGGTCTGACAGGTAATAACGGGCCTCACGGAGCAGTAAGTGTTTGTCAGTTGTACAGTACACATCATGTACTTCATCAAATACTGGTACATTTACATTTATTTTACTACTTCTGAACTAAACCAGTGAAATATAAATATCATTAAACTATGGCAATGGTAGATTTTTGGTTTGAGGCATAGTTTACATGTTCGTCAGCTACAAAAACCCAAACTGTGTGACGCATATAAAAGCGTAAAACTCTTACAGCAAAGAGTAACAGCTTTTATTTAATTAAAAATATCTCTGTAAATCTTTGCAAGTTACTGCAAATGAATGCAAACGATTAACCAAGCTGTATATAACTGTTTTATAATAATAGCAATAATAATAATAATAATAATAATAATAATAATAATAATAATTCTTGAATGATTGCGTTCACACAAGTAATCAGAACCAGAAGCATAACCAGGGGGTTTAAATTACTTGAGTAATGACGTCTCGCTGTAAAGCAATGAACCGAGCATTTTGAACATCTTCTTCACTTATGCAGTTAGGTCCATAAGTTTATGGACATTTACACATAAAATATATATATTGTTGCTTTTGCAGTCCAGCACAGGTGATGTAAACCAAACAGTCAAGATGTGGGTGTATTGGATCACCTCGTGTTGATATTTTTCCTGCATCATCATATTAAAGTTGGTTTAGGATAAATCTTGCAGTTGACACGTTAGCTATATTAAAAGCGTTCTTGTTTATATAAAACTCTCTTCTGAAGCAGTTGTTAAGCATCTTAAGTGTTTTTTTTTTTCATTACTTTATACAGTAGATAGTAAATATATTAGAAAGCTATATTTGCTGTTGCCAAATTTAGGTCACTCCTTTTGGTTTCTTGGTAATAGTTTTTATTAGCATTAGCTAATTTCTTAGCTAATGCTAACATCATAGTTAATGCTAATTTCTTAGTCAATGCTAACTGAATGCTCAAGCCACGTGATTGGTCAGCTGCAGTGTTGATCCCGGACCGACATTATTGTAATAATATATTAGTAACACCAACACAAGTGAAGACTTTTACCTTTAACTCAAGGTTTCAATGATATCGTATGAACTGTTGAGGAACAGCTGCTTTTATGCTTCTGAATTTATTTGTGAGGTACGTCATCAGTGGTGGTTGTGTAATGTTTTACACATTTGCTTGGCAAGTGAAAGGTCACTGGTTCAATACTGGCATTAGGAAGGGCATCAAGCATTAAAAATGTCAAAACCAAACATGCTGCGCTACCTGCTGCGATGACCCTTTTGTGACAAGGCAGTAGCTTCTTTACTCTTGATTGACTGATTCAAAATTCACTGCGGGTTAAAAATTTAAAGTTAGGTCCACCTTAAAGCATTTACTGGATTATTGTTCATTTTGACTGTAATGTGGAAAACATTTTAGAAAAAGTACACCATGTTGGATTTAGCCAGATATTCAGTTAGAGACTGAGACTTATTAGGAAAACGTTAACTGAGAGCGAAAGTTCAGTAAACAAACTTAAATGCAATTTTGGATTATTTTGGAATGAGATTCGCCCCCTGCTGGCCACTAGAAAGCATGCAGGTTCAAGTCTTCACTTTTCAGACCAGAATGCTTATCTTTCGTATACAGTTTGTGAATGCTCTGAGCTATTTTCATCTATGGCATTCAGTCGTCGTTGCTTATCACCAAGAACAGAGTCAGAAATCATAGTAGGTGGCAAAAAGAAAGGTGTAAATGGAGCTTTAACCTTGATAAGCAAATCAGCTCAAGATTACCATTAATTAGTGGGAAAACAAAGAAAAAAACATTTATGTTTATGCCAGCATCTGTAGCATCTGTCCTGGATGTTATAATCACACACTGTTATTTGTTTTTTCTAAATTTCATTCAGAAGATGATTTCCCATCAGAAGGCAGCAGATCCATCACTGTCAGCATGACGAACAGATTTACTGGCACTGATCAAAGCAACCCTACCATGCCTGGTCAGCCAGGCTAAACTGTAAGACTCTAACCTAATAATATCCTGGATGGGCGCATTCACAGCCCATAATCTCTATGCACTTTAAAAACAAGCATGTGTGCCTGTATGTCAGTATGACCAACACACTGAAATCAAGCAACAAAATCACAAAAATGCTTCACTTTATTGTGAGGCTTTTTTGCAACCGTGCTGGACCTGCGCAGATGTTTTTACTTGGTTTGACCTTTTCTCGGGACACTGAGCGTCATCAATACCTCTTTATAATCACATCATTGCACAGCCTCCTGATGGAAGGAAAATGCAACACTGTTACCGATAGCATTAATATTGCCTCGGGTCTAATGCCTGCCGAGAGATAGAGAGATCAAAGAACTAACTAAGATGCCTACGGAAATATTTAAAACGATTTGCTTGGTGCTAAAAAAACAAAACAAAATCCACATTAACTTCACACAAGGGGACACTTATAAAATAGTAAGGTTATGAGGATTATAGATGAGACCCCTGAAAAACTAACAGTCTGTGTAGATAAAGTCTGTATAGATAGATCGATAGATAGATAGATCGATAGATAGATAGATAGATAGATAGATAGATAGATAGATAGATAGATAGATAGATGCAACAGGTACTTCTTTCTGTGTTTTTTTCCATTAAGAAACCAAAGAGTCAATGCAAAGACTTGTCTGATGCAAACAAAAGCTTCGAGGCCACTTTCGTCTCACATTTCCTCACTGTTGTCAACTTGACAGCCTCTCTACAGCTCACACAGCCTGCAACACACAGGCCTGTCACTGGAGGGAAGAGGAAGGCCTGAGGATGAGGAGGATGTCTTTGTATTGCTTACTGCTCTCTAAAGCTCTTTATTATTTATTTATTTATTTTAATTCCCTCATTCCAAAACCAGTGAGCAATCAGTCAGCAGCTGTTTATCACTTCATTGCAAGACCACGCAGGGCAGATAGTCATCAGCATCTCCTGCAGGGTTGTTAAAGGGAGATTTCAGCCAGCCTCCTTTGTGGTGATAATTCTGGACACCTGATAACATGGCTTCAACGACAGTCAAAAGAGATCCCCAAAATCGCTCCTGCAGCCCTGATATTCTCCTCTCACGGGCCTGTTCCCAACAGTGTCAGCTTGTCAGATCTGTACTGTGCTGTCCTGCTTTCACGATTTGTATATTTCACAAAGTGGATACATGCCTCCGATTAAACATGGCCAAATTTAAGCCTTCTGTGCGGTCGTAAATGTCTTTATTTATAATAAGCCGTAAAAAGGGCCTTGTCGCCAAAAGGGCCAATTTGTACAGCCCAACAAATGCGGATGGATTATAACTATAAATCTGTTACAGAAACCAGCCGATTGTCTCTTCGCTTGCGTCCTGGCATATGCCCCCATTCTTAGAAATCACACTGCCATCGGCTTGTCACGACTTGGATTAGATTATAGGGCCAAGTCTCGATTCACAAAATCGATCCTAATTGCCGTGTGAAGCAAACACACCCATCGCCCCCCTCTCTTCATGTTTTAATGCAAACATAAAAAGAAAGAAAAGAAGAGGGAGAGGGGGGAAAATCAGCGCCATCAGCCACTAAAAGCTAATTAATTTCACCTCACCTTAAATCCTTCGATGCCAGGGTCCCTCTTCAGCTTGGAGATGGTGGTGATGAAGAATGAGAAGGAGGAGGATGAGGATGGTGATGCGTACGAGGCTGTCGCTGTGAGCCGAGTGGTGACGATGATGGTGGTGGTGCTGCTGCTGCGCGGTTTGGAGACGGAGAGGAGAAGCCCACGCCATCCACACACACTCACAAGAGTGATGCTCAGAGGTTCCCCTCCCCCACGCGAAACCCCTCACACACACCCCACGCGCCCCCCTCCTCACGAGCGCATTTAAACGCCCCTCGTCGATATGGAGAGTTTTGGCGCAAATTGTTGCGCACAATCTGCGCACACACTTTCGCCAGCTTTACGTAAGACTGCGTTTAACGAGCAGATTTTACACCGTGGGGCTGGAGACTGTTCCTGCGTGATTAGGATTTCTCTGTATGCAGCAAATTAGACTCGACCATCTGCTTTTTAAATATGCATCATTGTCTGTACATAAATCAATATCGCACACGTGCCAGTGCACCTGACTCCTCTGTTGCCATGCCGACCACTCGCGTATCCCTGAGTGCATCAAGAACTGGGAAAACGAGACCTGAGCCTTCTCGATCAGCCTCCGAGGCTCAAAGAAAAACAGAAATGTGGTATGGACATAAGACATCTAAATGTTTCCATTTGCGTGGAAACGTGTGGGAACTACGTGAAAAGCGTGTTTTACAACGAAAAGAGGCGTCTGCTTTTGGTAATCAGCTCGTAACACCTCATTTAAGACAAATATTTTCAGGCAAACATCTGGTTAGAACACCTGCACCAATCATCTAAACGGGGGCGGGGGTAGAGAAGCATGCACAGCTGCAGTAAGCCCTGATTTAATTTTTTTTTTTCTTAAGGTATGCTTGTCCTTTACAGTTAAATACCTGTAAGCACAGCAAGACCTTACAGTACTTTTTGCAGTTCACATCCTCTCATCGTGGGTATGAATATCATAGTAATGCTGGGCTTTAAAGATTTCTTTGAAGTATTTGTTTTTAGGGTGTAATGATTCCACAGCACACATTTTTAATGACTTTAATAGACAAGAACTGGGTGCACAAAATTGAATTTATTTTGGATTTGCTCTAATCCACAGTGTCAGAAGTATCCATGCACAGTAAATTTCACTGAGTACATCTGACTCAAATTGAATAAAATTTTACTCTAAAAAAGACAGCATTTGGTCCCAGTCTAAATGGAGTAAAATTTACTCTTACTTAAAATTTACCCTTGATAATTTACTTGGTTTAGTTTAAAATAAAATAAAAACTCTACCCTAATTTTATTCTAAATAGTACAGAACTGTACTCTGAATGGTATTATACATAGAAGAAAAATTCACTTTATTTCACTATGTAACTGCATTATAATCATTCACTGCAAGGTTTTAAAGGTACAATAAATAAATCAGAAAAAAATATTTTTATTTTAACAGCCACCTTTATTATTCGGAGGAAACAGTATGGTAAAATACAAAAACTGTAACTGCTTGTTGTAAATCAAATGCTTTACAACAGAAAAGCTCTTTGACATAAATTACATGAGGTCCGTCTCTTGTACACAGAATTTGAAAACCATTCAAATGCTCATTTAGACACGCTGTTTGCAGTGCAAACGTACTCAACAATAACCTCTCATCCTCCACAACAACTTGGTAGAGCTTGTGAAAAACTGGCATTTCACACTGGACATTTATACAAACAAATAAATCTGCATGATAAATTTCCATGGTGTTTTGCCCATCTAACATTTAACACCTTGGTGTTGATTGGTAGCTGAAGAGTCTCTGCTATCTCACAACCCCAGTCCAATGGATTTAAAGAAAGCATTTTACCTGGTCCAGTGATCAGCCTCTTGGGGTCAAATGTCTGCCAGCTGAAAGCAAAATGACTTTGATGTTTTATTGCCAATGTTTTGGTTACATTTTTGAAACTTCTCAATTGTTTTTTTTTTAAAAGAAGTTGTGTTTCGTTTCATAGCGCATGCACCAGCTATGCAAAAGTGGTCCTGTTTTGAGTATACATGTAGGATAATGCACAATGACATGATGCTTTGGTAGCAGCTTGTTGTGTGGAAACAAACGTTTGAATAACCTGTGGTGTTCGGCGATCAGGTGTTTCAAGAAAATACTGATGCCTTTTGATAACACTGGTGAAAATACAATATTCACTATTTGAAGCAACAGCAGTAGCAAATACCAGTGCTGACCATTTGGACAAACTATGTCTCTAAAGATGAGTGGTAGATTCCGAAGTAAACACCAGGACTGGATGGCGTTTAACCCCAAGTCATTTGAGTCCTCTCCCAACATCATTGTAGGTGGTTTGTTGTTTTGTTCCATGTAGCTATAGTTAAAGCTCTTAATTCTCCTGCCCACTTCCTTTGATGTTGTATACTGATCATGTAACGTAATCAGTTTCATTTCATATTGTGCCACTCCCTCCAAGATATCATGCATAATATCAACAGAGAAATTTTCACATGTACTGAAGTAATGCAGTGAGCTTAGAATGCAAGACTGTTTAACACCCATCACATAAGGAAGTCTCTACAAAACCAAACAGGCAGCGAAGACCAAGGCTCTCACCAGTAACTTGGACAAGGTCTATGTACTGGGTCATACGGGGGAACCTTAACTCCATCCCTCTCCGGGATTTTCATATTCTTCACAATTGGATCAAGTATCTTAGAGAAGCCATATGTTTGGGATGTTGAACTCCTTGGCAACTGTGAACATAATAAAATTGCAATATACATTTGAAATAAACACCAGAACAAGCAAAAAAAAAGTGAAATTAAATAAACTGAACAAAATAAACCTAAACATTTGGTATAGCAGCTATTATAGCATCATCACCAAAGCTTGACTGATTCACACTACGAAACACGCTGAAAACATTAATGTTTTTTACTCACCGCAATCCAAAAACAATCAGTAGCTCAGTTGGCCCTCAAAACATACATACTTCTGTTGTTCTCTGCACTTCATATGCACAGCTGGCATCCTTAATGATATGAAAAGGATATTTTTCAGTACAAATACTTACAAAATTGAACAAAAAACACAAGTATATTCCATGTGTGTACAGTCTCGTGTTCTATTCTGATAATGTGAATGCATATAAAAAAAATAGTAAGGGCAAACTCAACGTTGCAGCAGTCGGAAGTTTGTATAATACTAATCTAATACACTAGGGGCTTAAGAAATGTCTAAAACTGCAACCATGTATACTTTACAATTAAAGCACGCGTGCTTTCTAACTTAACAGGTGAAACATCCACAAACGTCAATCCACGATAAAACACAAATTTATAACAGAACATTACGTTTAAAAAAAGTCGATTTGCATGCCTCAATTTGGTGTAAAACACATGTGTTCACAGACCTTTTTGGATAAAACACTGCTGCACCGGATTTGTTAAAAACACACTAGCCTGGTCAATTATACTACCTAAAAGCAGCTATTGAGCAATGCTAAAAAAAAATTCTCCTGACTTTGCCCCTATATGTTACATATATTACACCCTAAGTTTGTATTTTGTATGTATTGTCTGTATGGTCGACTAGGTCTGTCATCTCAGCTGCAGGCAACTGCAACTGACAAATAAAGCTTATCCGTATCCTTCATTTGGCAGAAACTAACCAACCTTGTCACAAACTCGTAAGCTGTAATGTTACTTACAGGCGTTACCTTTCAGATAAACAAAAAAATCCCCATTTTATCCTAAATGAAATCATTATTAAGCACTTTACTCACTTACCTGGCTCACCGCTGACAGTCGTCTCTGTTCCACTGCGGGACAGCAGCAGAAAGGAAACTTAGGAAATGTTAGTGGACCTAGTCTCGCCATATTACTCCAAAAGAATTTCTTCCGTTTTTTTTTCCTCTGTTCAACTCTAGTGGCCAATCGAAATGATTACAATCCAAAATGAGTAAAAATTATTCTTAGAAGAAAACATTAACTCTGGAAAAATCATTCTTGCCATTTTCCTGTGTACATAATCCCCCACTAATATTTAGTTAAGTGAGTCTTTGCAAATTGCAGTGTTTTTGGTAGCAATCAGCAAACTTCTGGCATAATTCTAGCTCGATATTTGATCATGCTTCTTGGCAGAATTGGTAATTCATCAAAACTGGTAGGTTTCCTGGTACCGACCCAGCTTTAAATTGTAGCCCACAGGTTTGAGGTTGGGCTTTCCAGAAGGTTAGCCTGCTTTCAAATCCAGTTTTGATGTGCGTGGAATCAGTGTCCTGTTGGAACACGCAACTGTGTACAAGTTAAAAACATCTAGGACTTGGTTTGAAGTAATACACCTTCTTCATTTTTCTATACACTTTGTGCAATGTACCAGTACCACTGCTAGCAAAACAGCCACACAGCATGATGCTACCACCACCATGCTTGACAGCTGGTGCTGTTGTTAGGTTTGAAATCCTCACCTTTACTCCTCAATTTTTGTCTCCTCTGATCATAAAACCTTCATCCAGGAGGAGTTTGGTTTATCCATGTGGGCAGCTGCAAATTTCATTCAAGCTTAAAGGACCCTCTCAGTGTATGTCTTCACTAGGCACAGTGACACTGTAGTTCTAGCAGTTTCCAGTTCCTCCAGCAGTCCTGGGTACACCCCCCGGACCTGCTCACATGCCCCCACAACAGCTCACCTAGGAGCAATAGTTTCAACAATTCTTCTATAATATTTCTGAGCACACAGATGCTCCGAGTGGAATAAAACTATACTTTGAAAGCAACATCTGATCTGTGTCCCTTTTAGAGCCACAAGTCTGTTATTTGATGCTGTGTTTTGTTGTCAGAGTAAATAAAAACAGTAAAGAATTGTACTAAAAATTTTATTTGTTGTTCATCTGTACAATGACCAAAAAAAAACCAAAATACAAACAGGTGGTTAAATTACTCCCACGCTTACAAACTCGAGCAAGTCTAAGGATGCGTTTTTTAAAAAAGCAAAATGACAGACAGTTATCTAACAGGAATTACGATGGCATTGGTGCTCTCGGAGGAGCCCGTGGGGGGACACCTGGGGGCCTCGGTGGCATCGGAGGTCCTCTCTGGAAGCCAAAGGGAGGTGGTCGAGGAGGACCGGCACCATAGCCAGGTGGAGGCATGGGAGGAGGAGGCCCTCTCATGCCTGGAGGGACAGGAGGGCCTGGGAGAGAGAGAACAAGTGGTCACAGTCTGATAAAACTGCTGTAAAACGCTACCAAGAGCCGGGGTTCACACCAGAAACCTTCTTGCCGTGACGCAACAGTGCTAACCGCTGTCTTGCCATGCCATATCAGTTTCCTTCCCATATCCTTTCTTATGAAAATGGCTTCCTGGGTATCAGAGCCCAGATTTTGTGCCACAGCTGCCTGGTGTAACAGCAATAATACATTTTTTTTAAGGCTTGGCTCACAAATTTTAGTAGGGTACCTTCACAGGCATCAG